TGGTGACTGAAAATGACCAATGTGTGTCTAAGGTGATTTAAATTTATTTGAACTTCGGTGAACTTCGACCCCATTTTTTGAACTTTTTTGAACTTTTGTGAACTTTTTTGAACTTCGTCGAACTTCGATGATTTTTTTTGAACTTTGGCGAACTTCATTGAACTTCGATTGAACTTCGACGAAGTTCTGAACTTTGAACTTCGGTTGACGATTTTTTTAGAGCCTATGTCCCCTTGGGTATCATCCGTCAGAGAGAAATAGAGAAGAGAGAACTGAAGGTTGACCCTGATGATCCACGTAAGAAAGTAAGATGCAGGAAGTGCAACCGAAGATACCACAAGTCCAGCGAATGTGCCAAGAAATAGTTTGCTGTGAAAGTGCCAAAAGTGTTCTGTGTTACGTGTTGTTCAAATCAGAATGTGTTTATTCTACCAAGTTAATCAAATCGTTCCATTAATTGCAATGAATCGTATTGTTATGCCAAAGCCAAGTGCTGTGCTATGTTAAGTGTTCATGCCAAAAGTTATAATAAATCAAGAGAAAAGATAAAGAATGTTTCAATTCATACACGGAGGTCACAGTCAGTCACAAACTAAGTATTTATTTTGAAACACCAGTCAATGAGGCAAACCAAGCCTACAATCAGTAAATTAAAATTTAAAAGCCTTGGGCTAAGGAAAGTCCATGTTGACGAAAGGCAAACTAGGCCTGTACGAGTCAATTATTAAAATACGGCCAAACACGAAGAATCATAACATTAAAGGCCAGACAAAGTGACAAATCATAACCTTAGAGGCCAAACACAAAGTGACAAATCATAAGCATTAAGGCCAAACAAAATGGCATATAAATTAAAAGAAATTAAGTGTAATATCACATCTGAAAATAAAATAAAGAAAACTGTAACCAAAGCGAGAAAGACCACAAAAGAAAAAAAAAACAGGTAGACTAACCCCACTCTTCGACCAGGAAGGCGGGGACTGGAGCGACGCCATGGAAGCGGAAAATTTCAGTCTGCAAAGGAAAACAGACATTGAAACAACAATAACAAAAAGAACAACAACTAAGAGCGGGAGACAAAAGACACGCACAAAAACCCAGCGCAGACAACGAGCGCAAAGATAAGGGCTATGAGGGTTATATAGCTCTTCAAAAGTGCACTTTCGTCTCTGATAAATATAAGAGCCAGTAATACGAAATTCAGGTTGGGCAAAAGGCGAACAAGGCCCGCACACGAAAACGGCTTCATCCCCCTCGAAGGCATAAAAGGGGAACGCCGCCAGGGCACTCTGAGCAGGCGGAGAGAGAGGACGGCTAGCAGAACAGCACTAGAAATAAAGTTCTAAACCAAGGAATTGGATAAAGAACCAGA